CGACAGGCAAGTTCCCCGAGACAGAAAGTAGAACGGAGGTTTCCAGGGCCCAGGGGAAGAGAAGATGAGGGGTTATTGCCTAAAAGGGGACAGAGTTTCTGTTCTGTTTGGGTTGGTGAAAAAGTTCTGGAAGTAGATTGCGGTGACAGTTCCACAACATTGTGAATATGATTAATACCACCGACTGTGCACTTTAAAAATGATTAATTGTACATTACATATATTTTACCATAATAAAAAAATCCAAAAACTGTGAGAGGAGGTTCAGAGAGCTCAGGCTGGCAGGCTTTTCCTGCACGTACCCAAGTCCCCACGTGTGTGTGCCCAGGCAGATACATGTGCACAAGAAGCAAAAACAAAACTGAAAAACAAATTAAATCTATCCTAGCCAGTAAGCTATTACATAAAAGGAAATCTTAATGTTACCAAAATTTTACCGTGTTGTTCACAATAAAATATCCTTCAAACCAAGCAAATGACTCCTTAGGTGAAGAAAGGTGCAGCGAAGTTTGGAGTCAACAGCCTAAATTTTCTCACTGTTGGGTTCGAGTCACCGACCTCTAAAACTATCTTAGACCCAGTCTCAAGTCTCGAGGGTAGCAGGAGGGTGGAGGACTGCAGGAGCCAAGCCACGTCTAAGTCCAAGGAACTTGTTTCTTCAAGCTCTCTGTCAGCAACTCTGACAGTGAAGACGACAAAAAAGTTAAAGAAGAAAAAGAACGTTGCTCCAGAAAAACCAGTGAAGAAGCAAGAGACTGGTGAGACTTCAAGAGCTCTGTCATCTTCCAAACAGAGCAGCAGCAGCAGACGGGGCAACACGTTTCAGACCGGGAAAACGCGGCGCTTGAGCGCTCAGGACTTTAAAGGGAAAATTCTAATTGATATTAGTGAATACTGGATGGATCCAGAAGGCGAAATGAAACCAGGAAGAAAAGGTATTTCTTTAAATGCGGAGCAATGGAAATAGCTGAAGGAACAGCTTTCTGACATTGATGATGCAGTGAGAAAACTGTCAAATCCGAGCCATATAAATCCTGCACTGTCCTAGTGGTTTTAATCTGTCTTTTCACATTGGCTTTTTCTTTCTGAATGTTGTTCTCCAAGCTATTCTATGTTTGGATTGCAGAACAATTTGTAGGAGGAATATATTTTTTAATGCGCATTATTAAAAATGTTCTAAGTGAAAAAAAAAATTATCTTAGACCATGTCTTCCCTCCTTCCTACTTTCTGGAAAGCCCTTGGTCTCCTACCCTACACTTGAACAAGTCACGAATCTGCATTTTGCCATTCCCTGGCAGCCCACAGGCTGGCATCACCACTGCCGGAGCCCCAGGTCAGGCAAAGCCATCTCTCCCTCTCCTCCCTGTCCTTCTTCCTTGCTTTCCCTCCTCCAACGCCCCACCCCCCCACACAGCTAGCAACATCCTACCTCTGCCAAAGTCCCAGACTGTTACGCGCTGACGTTCAGGCTTCTCAGGCAAGAGCCAATATCACTTGTCTTGGCAAATGAGAGCTTGGACTCACACTGACCACGAAGGGTCCTCACAGCCTCTCCTCCAGTGGGCTGCGGTGAAAGTTGACACCGCGCACGTGACCCCCAGCTCTGTAAGGACAGACTCAGCACAGCAGCAACTGTCCGCATAAAAAATCCCTCAACATCTTTGCTCTCTCTGACCTTGTGAGTTTTACAGCCATCAAACTCCTCTTTTCTCCTAATTTTTTGAGATGAAATTTACATACCATAAAATTACCCGTTGCAAACTGTACAGCTCAGTGCCATTGGGCACGTTCACGATGTTGTGCAAGCACCGCCTATATCGAGTCCCAACACATTTTCATCACCGCGGAAGGAAACCTGTACTCCTTGAGCCGTCGCTCCTCACATCGCTGCCCCCCAAACCCGGCAACCCCCACAGCTGTTCTTCATGAATGCCTCTGGAATGTCCTCGTTCCGGTCTCAGATTCCGTGACAGAACGTCTTCCTGTCACATGGAGTGCCTGGGTCTGAAGGGCCTGCTTAACCTCCCGTTACCCCAGCCCAGTCTCCTGACCCTGTAATGCCCTCCCCCCCGATTCACAGCCAGACACATTCAGTTCTGCAGCTTGTCTGAATCCTGCAGGACAGCAGTGCCCACAACCCCGCTGGCAGCCAGTGTGGTGGGGGAGGGCGCCAGCCCCTGTCTCCCCCTGGCTGTCAGCGCCCTGCACGTCCCTCGGCATGACCGCGCAGTGGGAGCGGCCAGCAGCAGAGGGCGCTCCCGACTTCCCGCCTCATGGACTGGGCCGCCGAGCTGCCTGCAGAAGGAAGCCGTCCAGCATTAATACCATCGTGCTAATGTTACTCTTATGGGCACAGCAGGCTTTGCATCCACACTTATTTTTAGCAAGTTTCCAGGCAATGCTCCTGCCACCGGTCTGGGGATCACACATTGAGGAGCAAAGGCCTAAATTACAATAACTACCAGAATAAAAGCAGGTCAACTGCTTCCTCCCAGCTCAATTCATGCAGCTGCTGAACAAACAAGGGGGTGAGGAGGAGAGAGGGGAGGAGAATGTTCCAGCAAAGGGAACAGCAAGTTCGAAGGCCTCAAGCACAAAGAGCTTCAGTTGTTGCACCAACTAGAAGGGGCTTTGTGTGGCTGGGCCAAGCTCCAGGCTTGGCTCTGAATTTCTGGGAGCAAAAGCCCTGTCCCTCCATGAAGTCGTCCACCAATGAGGGTCGGGACCCTTTTGATGTCCTTCCATGGGACCACGTCTCCCCGATCACCTCATATGACAACACATCTGTCCTTGCTCCTCCCTGGTCTCTCAGCCACCTCTGGCTTCTAGGTCTCAGGAGGGGCTAGACCACTCCTGTGTGGGATCACTGAAGCCATTTCATTGTCATAGACCAAATCTTTCAAAGCGCAAGGACCACTGCAGACCTCCCTCGTCTCCAGCCCCAGCCCCGTGCTCACTTGGGAGCTCCTCCCCAGGGCACAGGCCTTGCAGGGCGAGGAGAGCTGGGCAGAGCAGTGGGGGAGGCTGGCACTGTCTATTCCTGCCAGACCTCAGAAAGGCTGGGCCCCAGGACCCCACCAATCAAGAAGAAGCTGGAACCACATCTCCGGAGGCAACAGAAGCTCAGTTTAAAACATCGGTGATGGAGGGCAGTTTGACAAGGTATTTCGTAGGTGGGTTTTCAGAGAAGCACAAGGGAGGTGGCCCTGAGGAGGCAGATGGCCTGGCAGAGAGGAGTGCGGTGGCCCACGTGGCCAGGGGGAAAAGAGACCAGCACAGAGGGGTAGGAGGGCAGACTGCAGGCCCATGGTTCCAGGCAGCGAGGCACCAATGCCGAGCTCATGGTAAAGGGTCTCCGTTTAGGTGAAACCTGCCTGCAAAGCCAGTTGGCAGGAGTATGTCCGGTGTGGCCTGGCTGACCCTTCAGAGGTCAGCTGTAAGCAGGGGACCCCAAATACTGCCTCTGCATCACAAAACCCTGGATGGAAGGGCATCTGGACTTCCTGGATCAGCCTGTAACAGAAAGAATGGCCTGGACATGAGGGAAAAAATGTGTTTTTCGTCTCTCACTAAAACTGACTTCCCTACCTTCCCTGCCCCAGGCGAGAGGCTTGGCTTGGCTTGGCCATCCGGGGGATTGTTTTCTTTGTAGAACCCCCTGACTCTTTAGAGTGTTAATTCTGTCTGTCACTAAAACTGGCTTCCCTGCCTGAGGCCAGCAGCTGGGCCAGGGGAGGGTTTTCTTTGTCCTTTGCATTGCAGGAGATATGGAGGACCCACAGGCGGTCCCAAGATACCCCATGCGGCTCTGGCCTGGCTCCAGACAGGTGGGGCTCCCAATAGATTCTGGAGATAAAAGGATCAGAGCCATGAAGTGTAGTTGACAACAATATCCTGAACCTGAGAACCCTCCCCTTAAAAGCTCTGTATTTTCACTTACGGGGAGGAAAACGGGATTTGGGGATGATAGTCTGCCTCTTTCCTCCTTTGCTGGGAAAGTAATAAACCTCTCTCTCCTTCACTTCAACCACTTGTCCCTGTTCTTGTGATTCGGCCTCGTGGACAAGTGCTGAGCTTTTGGTAACGAGCCAAGGACTTGGCTTGGAGAGAACTCAGTGAGAGGCTCCAGACCACCCGCGGGTACACCCATGCTGGTGATGAACTAGCTGGGAAAGGGGCTTGGTGCTCCAACATCAGCACAGGCCCAAGTCCCAACTTGCCGCTGGATACAAGACTTAGGGCCTGATGTGGTCAGACCCCAGGCACCTATGAAAATCTGGAGTCTCTCAGCTTTTGGGGACAGAGGCTGGGTCCCAAGTGTGACAGATATGGGAAATGCACAATCCCATACCCTCTTCCCGAACACATGGGAAAACCCCATGCCCAGCCTCCCTTCAGTCCTGCTGGGGTCCCATGGCTGGGTCCAGGTCGAGCTCATGTTGAATTCCACCTTCTTCCCTCTCAGACACCTTCGACCTACAACAGATTGACTATGTCACTGGCCCTGGTTCTTCCCCATGGCCACGTCCCACCCCTTTGCCATGTGACTTTGCTGCTGCTCTCACTACGGGGGCAGGTCCATCTCTTCCCCTGAGTCCGGGATGTCAGCAGATGCGACGCCGGGGACTTCAAAGTGCATTTCCTTGTTTCTGCTTTTGTTTTTGCTTCTCTGCCATTGCCTGAAAACCATGCCTGAGCTATCCTGCTGGGAAATAAGAGCTCCATCACCCTGTCACTTTAGCCCACCACGTGGCATTTGTACCATGGGGTTGGCTCAGCCACCTGAGACCAGAGGACCTGCCCAGCCAAGCCCAGCCACAGCTGCTGACCTGCAGGCTAATGCGCTAAGTAATCGCTTATTATTGTTTTGCTGTATTTTCTCATGCAACATCGCCATGGCACTACAAAACGAAAGAGACATGACCCACAAAGACTGAATGGACCACTACCCCATTCTCCACCGCCCCACCAGACACTGCGACTCTGATGTGAATGACCAATAAGCTTTTATTGTGTCAGCACTGAAAGGTCAGCTTGGCTTATTGCCCCAGCACTGAGGATCCTCTGCTGACTGATACACAAGGAAAGAGATCACGGGCCCCCACCTGAGCAGAAGGGAGGTGGTAGATGAAATGAACCTCGTGAACATACAGTAGCCTCCAACTCATGCTGGCAAAGCGCTGGCCCATCTTCCGGAAGCCCATGCCCTGGTAGAGGGCTATGGCAGACAGCTGCATTTTGGTGGTGTCAAGGACAACTTCACTGTAGCCCTGGTCCCGGGCAAACTGGAGGACAGTCCTGACTAGGGCTTTTGCTATCCCCTGACCACGGTGCTCAGAGGACACAATGAGGTGACACAGCTGCAACCGCTTCTCTTGCAAAGTGGGGTCATCAACGGGCAGAGCTCCCACTGTGCCCACCACCTTCTTCTCAGACTCAGCCACCCAGAAGCAGGAGCCAGGCTCACTCAGGTAGGATTTGGTGATGTCAGCCATGTCCGTGCGCAAAGTCATGTCCACGTACTCTGTCCAGGGACGTGCAGCAAGGAACCACAGGACAGGGAGGAGGGCGAGGCCGAATGTGAGAGCCAGGAGCCAGGAGCCAGAGACCAGGAGTAGGGCCAGGGCCCCCCCAGGCAAGAGCACGAGAGTGCGGGGCAGCTTCAGCACGTGGCGGAAAGTGGCGGGAACATGCTCGACCATCCCCTGGGAGAGCAAGCCCACGACCCACTTGCGGTCGCTCTCCTGGTATTTGCGGATGAGATAAGGAGCCATGGGGAGACCTCGGCGTCTTTAATCTCAAAGTCCAACAGAGACAGTGCGGAGTCCCTGCACGCCTTCCCGGCAGCCCTGCAGAAGAGACAGAATGCCACGTGAGTGCCCCATGCCTCGGAGCCTCGCAGGATCGGGGAGACCCTGCTCAAGAAGGTGTCTTTCTGCTTTTGATCGGAAGGAAGCAGGCCACCTTCACTGGGAGAAGGTAGGGTCCAAAAGCCCAGCATGTAAATCCTGGTTCCATGGCTTTCTAGCCGTGTGACCTTGGACATGCCACTTAACGTCTCTGAGCCTCTGTTTCTCCATGTGTAGAACAGTGTAAAATAAAACCTGCCTTCTGGGGCTGCTTTGACGATGTAATAACTTCTAATATGCCGAGATGTAATAAAGTACCTTCCCCTCTACCCTCTTTTCCCTTTTTCTGGCTCTCTCAGCTTCTTGGTACAATGGGCTGACACCTGCAGCAGCCAGGCTACTGTCCCCTGCCCTTTCGTCCCTCTCCAGGGACCATACATTGCAGAAATCCTGTGCTGACGAGCACACGTTTCAGCCACGGCTCTTTCCCCCTTGACTGCATATTTTCGCATTGCCATAAGAGGCAAACACCAACAATGGCCCAGGCTCAAGATCCCGAGGAAGGTCCAGCTCACAGCACTGTCCTTCCGCCCGCATCCCTCACCTGCCACAGCAGGAGCTTTGAGTGTCCAGCGCAGCCTCAGCCCTCAGCCTCTGATGGCATCCAGGAGAGACTGTCCAGGGCCTGCCACACCTTGGGGGACAGGCCTGGATGCTCAGTCCCCTCATTGGCTGGCTCCTGGGTGTCTGACAATCATCAACCCCAGGGTCAAAGAGCTGGGCTGACTCAGCAGGGAGCCCAGTGTGCATTCCCCTTCGTGGTCACTGGGAAATGTGCCTGGAGCGGGGTACGCAGGGAATAGCACGGGGTGCTCCCCCTCCCTGATGCCTCAGACCTCTCTTGCCATGGCAGTTCAAGACTGGAGCACCTCCCACTCGCCACACCTGGTGGCTCTGCGATCCACCCCAGTCCCCTGCACACAGCCGCCAGCGCCATTCACCCTCTGCTCGGTCATCACCGGCCGGAGGCCAAGTCCCCTGGCTCAGCAACAAGGTCCCTCACAGCTAGGCTTCCTTCCACAAAGCTTTCCCTGGTCCACGAGAAATGGGCGGTTGGCAGTTCCTGCACTTACCTCACCCCCTTCCACCTCCATTCATTCATTCACTCAACAGTTGTGTGGGATGCACGCAGGATGTTCTGGATGTCAGGTTCAGCTGGGAGCAACGCCGACACACAGCTGACGGGCACAGCACGGTGTGCGCCTGGTGCGTGTTCTGCTCGTTGGTCAGAGCCTGTGCCATGAGAGTGGTTAAACATTTCGCACTGTCGACGTAGCAGTAAAACAGACAAAAACAAAGCAAACCTGAAAACCTGTAAAACATGGAACTTACGAGCTATCAAAGGAATGCTTTGCTAATTTTTATTAGCTCGCGCCTCTCCCCACATGCTCTAAAGACTCAGACCAGTTAAGGCCCTGGCTGAATATTCCCAGGGCTTGCTGAAGGCAGGGTCACACGTGTAAGCAGGCCTTAATGTGTAATATTCAGTTGACGATTGTCGCGAGCCAGGCCGTGTGGGCACTCGGGGCAAAGCAGAGAAGCCGGCGTACGTGGGGTCTTACGCTTGGGAGCTGCTCAGGAGCTTTCAGCGCCTGGGACACTGGAGGACACCTCCCACGGCCATGAGGGCCGTGACGACCACGACAAGGGCTGGGATCGGGGGAGGCTGCTCCCGAGGGAGGACCAGAAGGAGAGGGAGGCCTGAGCAAGGCAGGGAGAGGGCAGCGTTTCAGGCTGAGGGAACAGAAACCTGAAGACCCTGAGGTGGAACGCAGTGAAAGCCTTCAGGGACAGATGGCCAACATGGCCGTGGCTAGAGAGAGTGGGAGAGGACAGCACGGGCCTGGACACACAGAGTATATCATCCTGATGACATAGTTCCGACTCTATTCCAAGAGTGAGGGGAGGCCATGGGTACTGGCTTGTGTGTGTGTGTGTGTGTGTGTGTGTGCTCACTGACGGGGACAGCATCACTCTGGCTGCACGTGGAGAGTGGGTTTAAGGAGGCAGGGATGGAAGCAGGTACCGCCGGGAAGCTCGTGCAACATCCAGGTGGCACAAAGGTCCCCAGTTCTGGTGTGCAGGATGCCCTCTGGACCATGGTACCTGGCCAAGTGGGCCCGTGAGAACTCATTCAAGCCTTCCTCAGCTTGTCAAGCCATGACCGTTGTTTGGAGCTGAGTCTGAGCTAAGGACAGGGCACGTTTCTCTTATTGGCTCAAAGGCATTATTTGCCAACTAAACTGTGCTTCCAGCACGCCGAGCTGCTTGAGCCGCTGCCTTATTCGGGGTTCACAAAGGAGCCATGTGGGCCAGCAGAGGCCCAGGAGACAGCACCGGTTATAGCAGAGTCAGGCGGTCAAGATGGTGACACTGGGACCACTGGGGGTGCATTTGGGGACAGAAATGACAGGAGTTAGAATGATTCACACGGGGATGAGGACAAGGAAGGGGTCAGAGATGACAGCCAGGTTTCTGACAAGAGCATCCACGAGGACACTGCAGAGACCAGATCCGGAGAGAGGGAGCCTTGGCCCACAGGTGCTGTCCCGCAGCCGTCCTCATCCTCGTCGGAAGGCAGAAGCTGGGAGCTGGCAGCTGGGATCCAGGGCCAGTGGGTGGAGCCTGCTGGGATTCAGATCTTTGGCATCTGACGGGACCTCCAGGGTAAAGTCTAATTATGACAACGTTAGTTTTGGGTGGTGAGTCCATGGGTGTTTGTTAAATTGTTCTCAGTACAATTTAGTATTTTCTATGAACATTTCATTGTTTAGCAAAAGCTGACCTACGAAGCAAAAGGGGTGAACAGAGGGCTCCCAAGTACACTTGCGTGTTCCCAACGTGAGTGCCACTAATGCTAACCAGACAGAAAGCTGGGAGTCAGGTGCAGGGTGAGGGGTTGTGTCTGTCCCTGTGCTCTCTGTCCCTGTGTGCTCTCTGGTTGCTGTGGCTTCCCCAAAGCACAGCCGCCTCAGTTTACTTCAGGCTTCTCGTCTGTCCCAATGTTTAGTGTCATTTCTGCATTTTTATGGCTTTCTTAATAGAAGCCTGGGTTTTCTTCGTAAGACCTGAAAGATTCATTTATTCATTCAAGAAACCATGGCCAGGGGCCGGCCACTGGGGCTTGGCCTTAAGGCACCAGAGGTTGGAGGTCTGGCTGCCACCTTCAGTAGGACACACCTGATGGGGATCTGGGAACAGGACAATGGCAGAGACATCCAAGTCCAGAATAACTTTGTTAGGAGGCTGAACTTGACAGTTAGGATTTTCATGTTGTGAATATTGAAAAGCCATCTAAAATTGGCTCAAGTACTAGAGGTGATCTAATGGCTGATGAAATGGTCAACTCCAGGAAGAGAGATTAGGGTGACCTGAAGGCAGGTTTGACTCGTGGTGTCTCTCCTATGCTGTGCACAGGGTCAGCTTCCTCCCAAGACTGGCTGACCTCATGGGATGTCGGTTGTTCTCCAGCCCATGGAAGCTGGGTGCGTCCTGTCCGCCACCAAGTGCTTATGTCCCAGCATTCCAAGTGTCAGAGAATGTTCACATGGGAACTCACATTTTCTCAGGACTAGATGTACATTTCACAGCAATAGCCAGCTTGGGGTTATATTAAAAGGGGTCCTGTCCCAAGCACACTGGCACCCGGAGATGGGGCAGGACTACAGCCTGGGAGCTCAGGGGTGAGTCACAGTGAGCACTGCCCACAGTGGGGGGGGACCCAGGCAGGACAGGTTAGGTAATAGTGCTGGTCGGCACCCACATAAGCACAAGAGGATCTGCAAAGAACATAGGCCCAGAGTGCAAAGTCTCTCTGGCTGCACTTTCTTCTCTTGTGGTATCAGTTAATCTTCCCTGGTTCACGAGGTTCCTTCAGAGGAACTAACTGCCTCTAGGCAGATAAGGGAACATCAGTGAAAGTCCCTCCTGGCATTTGCTGCTCCCCAGGTGTCTCTAGTTTGAAGTAATCCGCAAACAAAAGCAGCATATTTGGGGGTATCATTTTCTGAACCCCGACATCACCATCTAGTTCAGAGCTTAAACTGTTGCAGATATGCAAGATGATATGGAAGTGTTAACCTGTGAGAACTGTTTCCTTTTTTCATTGTTGTGGAATATACATAACAGAATTTACCATTATGACCATTTTTAAGTGTGCAGTTCAGAGGCACTAAGCACATTCATAGTGCTGTGCAGTGAGGATTTGTTCCATAGTGTTTGTCCTTCTTTACTCCCTTCAGTCCAGCCTTGAGCCTCAGACCCCAGGGAGGAAGGTTTTAGCCAAAATCCAAGGGAAACTGTGGGAGTTAATGTGAGGCTTTTGAGCTTCCCAGGGTCCATGCCTGGAAGAATCCTTGGCTAACCAGTATTCCCTGCCTCCAGAGAGCAGATAAATGCTATCTGGGCTGGAGAGGATGATGACATGGAAATGAAGAAAGGTGCTGGTTGTGGGTGAGGGTGGAGGGCCCACAGCAAGTTTAAGAATTCCTAAGCAGAGCAGAGGGTGTGCAAACGTCCTGTGGTTAGGCCTTAGTGTGGTCTCACAATATGGTGCAGGGAACCTGGCTAGATTTTCCCAAACCCCAAAGTTCATGGTTGATGGCATAAGGGAGCTGTGGGCGAGCCTAATTCTGCTGAGAATCCATCCCCCAGGTTAAGTGGCTGGTTTGGCCTTGAGTCCTTTCAGCTCCTCTCAGGAGCCCACAGACTAGAGGGCAGGATGGTTTGGGAGCAGGGACAGAGGCTCCCCTCGGAGGAAGGCCAGATACTTTCTCCTCCTGGGAACAGACTGTTGTTCTAGAATTTATCTACTTTGCTGCAGAGTTGATGTGTAGAATCAGCAACTCAAGTTCACTCCTTGCAGCCAGGCTCAGGATTAAAATTGATCAGCCACACGGAAAACCTGACACAGAACATCTAAAATCCAGTCCTTTTAAAAGCCTTACCAGAGTTTCCTTAATCAGAGGTGGGGCAGCGAGTGGGCCTCTAGTCCCTGCTGTGGTGTGTTATTTTTCCCACTAAAAGCACAGACCTCTGCCTCGGAAGACAGGGCTCAGCTGCAGCCTCCCCAACTAAAAAGCAAGGGGCTGGTTCAGGCTTAACTTGGACACTTTCAGGGGCTCCTTAAACTTCTTACCGTGTGAAAATTTATGGGTTCATTTTCTACATGAGATTTTCGAAAGTGTCTGTGATCCCAAAAGGTTGGGTACTATTAAACTAGATCAGTTGTTTGTTTTGTTCTTGAGGCAGGATCTCCCTAAGTTGCCGTAGGAGAGACCATCTTTTAAAAGCATCAAAGCTCACTGCATCATCATCTGTAATTACAGAAATAAAAATCCTGTTCAGGCTGGGCCCAGTGGCTCATGTCTGTAATCCTAGCACTTTAGGAGGCTGAGGTTGAAGGATTGCTTGAGGCCAGGAGTTTGAGACCAGCCTGAGAAAGAACGAGATCCCGTCTCTATTAAAAATAGAAAAATTAGCTGGTCATCATGGTGCATGCCTGTAGTCTCAGCTATTCCAGAGGCTGAAGTCGAAGGATTGCTTGCACCCAGGAGTTTAGCATGTAGTGAGCTATGATGTTGCCACTGCACTCAAGCCTGGATGATGGGAGACCCTGTCTCAAAAACACAAAAACAGAAAAAAATCCTCAACATAATTAGTAAACGTGAGTTCAACTTTACCAGGAGGCAAACATCCCAAGATGGCAGAAATGTTTAAAATTTGAAAGGAAAGATTGCTGTGATATAGGCAACCTATGTGACATAGGCATGCTTGTAGACTGCTATCAGGAGTACAAAATGGCACCTTTCTGGTATTAAAAGTCATTAAGGGCCGGAGCGGTGGCTCACGCCTGTAATCCTAGCTCTCTGGGAGGCCGAGGCGGGCGGATTGTTTGAGCTCAGGAGTTCGAAACCAGCCTGAGCAAGAGCAAGACCC